GATGGTTGGTGAATTTGTTGCACTAAACCCCGATTTCTGCTCTGCGGAGCAGAGAAACGACAAGGCATCTATGTAAGTACAGTGCATTTAGTATTACAATGATGTCAATTCTGGCGTGATTCTCTAAACTTAAAACTTAATTTAAGGTAAGTCTCACCTTTTCATTCTGTATAGAGAAGGACAAGGATGTACTGTTGTCAAATTTAAGTTTAGCTTTAGAGAATCATGCCAGAATCGACACCAGTGTAGTAATAAACATAAAACAGATACAACATATGAATAAGTGTTATAAAGTTGCGTAGGTTAATTTCTTTCGACACTTTAATCCACAACTTTCCTGGAGTCTTCAAGGATGTGTTTTTATATTCTCGTACAATACAGTAATGATAATTACTTTATTTTTCGTGGTATTTATTAGAAATCATGTTTTTTTTATTATAAACTCAGTTAAAAGTAATGTTCTACGTGTTTACGAGTTTTTGTTTACCACAGTTCACGTCATACCATAGATAATCTATAGACTAAAATGGCCGACAGCGTTTTTGTATGTCCATGAAAAGTCTATTTTAAAATTAAAGATTTGTAGCTTTCTAGGTTTAAAAAAAATACAATACATTTTTTTTCGGTCTAATAGAACATTTATTAACCATTTAAAACCTTTTTCCAAAAAGGGTCAACTAGCCTATTGTTACTAACAATAGCTAGCTAACAAATTGTTAGCTACTAAACCAGATCTATTTCAAATAATTGTGGACCGTCAGAATCTCGGCAATTGGCATCGCTAGTGCGCCTTACCCTTCGCCTTAAAGAATTTTATATATAAATTTTTAATAAGGTAAATAGATTCGTAAAAGATCCCCCAAAGTGACGGATACGGATCTTTCTTCTGTCTTGGATATCCGCGGATACGAATACGGATATCCGGCACATCACTAATTAATATTTTTTTTTTTTTTTAATTTTTTTATTAATATGTTTTACGGCTCTGGATTCTAGTCCTTTTTAAGCCAAACGTTGAACATGTCAAAAACAAAGTAAACAAAACAAATGTCATTGAGTTTATCACATCACATCATAAGGTTCACTTCCACAGTAAACTCTTTCTCTTCCTTGTTATATTTTGTCTACAGTATTTACGATGAATTTGAATAGTGGCTTGAAATACTTGAGATCGTTAAGTAAGTCTTGCAACGTATTAGGGACGACCTTATCGATTGCTTCAAGTTCAGCAACAAGTATTAGACGCTGTAGTCCGTACCGTCTACATTCAAAAATTATGTGCTGTAGGTCTTCATTTTCTTGGCAATGGGGACACTTTGGATCATCTGTCATCTTCAGTCTATGCAGGTGAGTGCGAAATTGCCCATGACCAAATCTCAGCCTGTTTATTGTAGTAACGAATTTCCTAGATTGCACCATTTTGTTATTCCACCAAGGTTGGGCGGGCGGGCTTCCTTGGATCTTTTGATACCACTGTCCTTTTTCTTTGCTAATTTCATCCCAATGTTTTCTCTACAGTAATGCCAGGTTATGATGACACAGGGCTTTAAAATCTGTAAATGGAACCTTCATAGACAAAGAGTGGTCTTCACTTGGTGTACTTCGTGCAGCTTCGTCAACTCTTTCGTTACCAGTAATGCCACAATGCGCAGGTACCCACATAAATTGCACTCTCTTGCCAGATTCTTTTAGGTTATACAATAAATGCTTAATAAATAACACTAAATAATTTACATCATATCTATAACTATTTCTAAAGGATTTTAATACACTCTGAGAGTCAGAAAGAATAAGAAAATTATTGTTATGTTCTAAACCTAAGATATATAACAATGCCTGATAGATAGCATTACATTCCGCTGTATATATACTACAATCACTGGGAATCAATATGCACTTACTAAAATTTAACTGAACATCATAGTAAGCTGATGTTACTCTATCTTTAGACTTGGATCCATCAGTGTAAATTCTGTAAAAGGATTTGTTCTCTAAAAATTGCATTAATTCAGCATTGGTTCGAATTATGTCATCTTCTAAGATAAAGTTACAATTTAACAAGGCATTATAAGGAATTTGGTACAAAGGCCAAAGACTGTTTATATATAAATTTTCAAATGTCTTATGTATATGTACTGCTATTGCCACCAATTCTGGAGTATTACCAGATTTAAGTAGATCTGTGTTATGGTAAGAAACATTTTGCATATTCTTAAATCTCTCTAGGGGCAATAGTTTACCTACAATAAATGACATTTTAGATGATACATTTTTAATACAAAATCTTTCAGCTAATTTTAAACGACGAAGTATAAGAGGTGGGATGCAACTTTCAGCTTGCATTACATGAATAGGAGTAGAGCACATTGCACCTGTTATAATTCGAAGTGCCCTATTCTGAAGAATGTCTAGTTTTTTTAATAAACTTGTACCTGCATTCATGTAAGCTACAGAACTATAATCAAAGTGGCTTCTTATTAGGCTTTTATACAACATTGACAATATTTTTGGATCAGCTCCCCAATGTACACCTGCTAATGATCTAAGTATATTTAACCCATGTGTAGCAGACTTAATGATTTTGTCAAAATGGCTTTGAAAGTTTAATTTTGGATCCAAACATATACCAAGAAATTTGTGGGTTTGTACCCATGGTAGAGTACAATTATTATATATAATGTGACTATTAACAGGTATATCAATACATTTCTTAGAGAAAATCATAGCAGAACTTTTACTGCTACTTATTTCTAGTTTAAGTCTATTAAAATAATAATTATATATTTCAGATAATGCCTTATTTAGTTTATTTACAGCTATAATTACATTATTATTTACAGTATATACAACTACGTCATCTGCAAATTGCAGAAAATGTACATTTTCCTCCTTCAAAAATTGCTTGAGTTGACAAGTATAAATATTATACAAAAGGGGAGAGATAGTGGCCCCCTGCATGGTACCTTTGTATACATATCTTGGACCATGAAGAATATTATTGTGCTTTATGTACATGAGCCTCTCATATAAGAAATTGTGTACCCATTTACAGAGTTTGCCCGGAATACCTACATCATGCAGTACTTGTACCATAACAGCTGGGTTAACGTTATCAAATGCACCCTTGATGTCAAGAAATGCACAGACTGTCACAGAATGTTGAAGAAATGAAGTTCTTATGTCTGATATCAATGAAGTAAAATTTTCAGAGGCACTGCGACCTTTGCGAAAACCAAACTGTTCTGCAGGTAATATATCGTTTTGTTCTATATAATAATCTAATCTGAGTTTTATCTTGATGGTTTTTCCACCAGAACTGGTGCTTTTTCACGGCTTCTATAATATTAATATTATAGTGGTATATTTTCATTATCTGTATAGTATTTTTAGTGTTTTTTAGTGGTTTTTTAACATGAAATCTAGCAATATATTTTTAAGGGGGAAATCCCCTAACTTTCCAAAATTACCTAATGTTCTATACTTACCTTGTGACAGGGGAATTCTTACCACGCGTTTGTCTGTTATGGGCTACCTTTAATCGTTCATTCTGTTTCAGGAATTAAGTTCGCGTTCATTGTGTTGTTAAAAAGTTTGATTTGATAGAAACGTTTGTAACAATGTGTGAACTCCTGAAGCTGTATGTTTAGAGTATTCAATTATGTGTTATTATGGAAATTCCAAACCTGGCTTAAACCTTTAGCAGGTGTTGATGGGAAAGCGTTTTGTTTATTTTGTAAAGCAGAATTATTATTATATATTAAAAGTACCTAGTAAATTTGAGACATCCTTAAACAAAAAAGTACAAACAAAAAATGCAAATTCTATCCGGCAATCAAAAGATATCATTTAAAAAACACAAAATACTCTTTCTAAAATCCACTACAACCACAACCAAACAACTTCAGCATCGACATCGGCTTCATCGACAGAAGCGTCGGCGTCTGTGAACGACGATGAAGTTATAGAACATTAACAATATTGAATTAATAAATTTCACATTTTATTAAGATTTATTTTTTGATTATAAATAATAAATGTAAATACATATTTACCTGGTTTTATTTCATTCTCTAGTACTACTAAGATTATAAGTTAGTAAAAACAATATTGCCAATATTTTTAAATAACAAAATTTTACTAATTTAGAACGACTCCGGGATACAGTTACTTCTGTCGTTCGAAAATACGTATATAACATTTTTTTCTTAGAATTACTTTTTCCGTCTATTCCTACAGTTAAAATGTAATAAAAAAAATTGCACCCCTGAGATGGGGTAGCAACCAAACCCCAAGGCTCTAGCGTACAGCGGCATGATATAGAAAATGATCCTTGAGCTGTTCCCTACCTTTTATGAAAATTTCGAATAAATCCATGGTGGACGAAAAAATTGCGAGCCAAAATGCTTCATACCCTAAACTAATATGTAGAAATAAGAAAATCATAAGAGTCGATTTTATTCATGTTCACTTTGAATACTCCGATGTGAGATATGCCACAAAACAATTGAGATAAATATTCAAAAAATATGGTTTGATATAATCGATAACGCAATCACTTACTAAATGGAGTTATCAAATAATTTCTACCCTAACCTAGGTTCCGTTCCATACCTAAGCTCCGGTTAATATGTTTCAATCTTTGAGTATCTATAACTTACAGATACCTGGATAGATAGGATACTTTTTATCCTAAAAAAATACAGGTTCCTGTGGGGTTTGTAAAAAACTAAAGTTAATGTGGATGAAGCCGACAGTGGCCACTACTTTATTAATAAAATTAATGCACTTAACAATTTTTTTAAGCCAATAGGACACAAGGAGAATGTTCATAACAGTTTGCCCCCTTCCTACAACCTGACAAAATAATTGTTCTGGATTTTGTTAACACTCTTGTCCACTTCATTTGGTTGGGTTTTATGTCCAAGGTTACAACCACAAAAATTAATTAGGATTGGCTGTGAAAATAATATATTTAAAACAATAGACATATATTTTTACTCTCAAGTAATATTTAATATATTTTCTTCTGTTGTTCTTAACAATTTAGACAACCTTTTACCAATTAATTTTGGATACATCTTGGTCTTTATTAAAAACTCTTTTGATTGGTGAGTTACAGCACCATTTTCTAGTTGATAGTTACAAAGCACATGCAGTGGCTGAATAAGTTGTTCTCTATATATTGCATCTTTTTCAAGTACTGACAAGGTCTCTGCTGCCGTTTCTAAAGTACTCAAACAGCCCTCTGTTGGCTGTGTTCTGATAATATAACTACTAGTATTACTTGTTAACAGTTTAACTTGTTTCAAAGTGTGCAATATCGGGCTTGATGCATATATTGCTTTTGCTTGAGGCCATGTCCCATCAAGTAAAACAATATTATATATTTTATCAATAATTGCAAATTCTTTGATGTCAATGGCCGATTTGCTAGGATATAGTAGCAGGGTATTAGGTTGTAACAGGATATTTTCTAGGTTTTCATGTCTTGGCTGTGGAAATTTTTTCCCTTTGAAAATAAGGCACTTATTTTCTGCCAAGCCCAATTGTAGCATAGGAGCCGTTCTCAAACACCTTTTTTCCTCAGCAGGATGCTGTAATAATATGACTGTGCTTTGTGGATTAAGTCGTTTTGCAGGTAATGCTGCACACCAGCAAACAACTCTCGGTCTCCTAAAACACAATGATTGTGGTCAGAAAGAGAAATTACATAAATATGGCACAATATTTGCAACTAAAGAAACTAACTCGCAGTTAACGCACACTTGACGCATCACAGGTGGATCTGCTGGAATGTTAGATAAGTCTTCCCAAACTTTATTTTCATCCATTGTATCCACGAACTATCGACATTCCGCTTTTATTAAGAGTTCATTTCATAGTTTTAATAATATCATTGAACTCAAAATTACTGAAAGAATAGAAAATTGAAAAAAATACATGTTTTTGTGGAATTTAGTAAAATTGACAATATTGACATTGGTTGCAATGTTGCAAGTTTATATGTTTCTAATAAATGTCAAAATTGACACGTCCGGTCCGTCAGGGAAAAAAGTTGCACATCAAGCGGTACTTAGGGTACGGCCACAATGCACGCAGATTCAGATTCAGAGGGTACGGCCAGAGTGCACGCAGATTCAGATTCAGACTCAGAAAACAAGCGCAAGAAATAAACAGTGTAGTTAAAGCAGAGTGGCCATAGTGGCAGCAGGCAACTGGTTGCCCGCGCAGGTTTCGGAGTCAGACACTTTACCGGAATGTTTGGGTATATGGCCACCCTGCTTTAACTCCACTGTTTATTTCTCGCGCTTGTTTTCTGGCCTCTGGCACTCTGGCCGTACCTTAGAGCATTTATACCAGGAGGTGCCATTGCGTTCACTCGCCGAACAAAATTTTTCACCATTTTTGGTGCGGGACGAGGTACACACGTATAGCACACTAATGAAAATATGCAATACTCCCACAAACACGAGTGTGTTGTTGCTATAAACGCACACTTCAAAAATTACGTCACACAAATAAAAAAACGCACACACGCTAACCATTTTTATGTAACTATGCAATTGTTCGAGCGTACACCAACACAAAATTAGGGATGTGGCATTAAAAGAATGAACGATATTTGAATGAATAGTTCTTGATGAATGAACATAATGTTTGTTTATAATGAAAACAACATGTTTCATTTATAAATATCTATCTGAAAGCTTATTTATAGTTTTAGTACTTATGATTTTTATGCTCAAAATTCAATGTTTATTTTTGCAAATTATATTGCTGTGCAAAAAATCTTTTCAACTGATTTTGCTGCCTTTTATCGGATAACCTGCCTATATTTAATTGCTTTTACACCCTTAATAATATCAAACGCAGTACATCGACACAAAACACTGCGTAACTGACCCTAGCTTATCCATTCTTTGTTTAATATAATGGAGATAGCGAAAAAATATACTGCAGTGAATTAAAGTTATTTGTTTTATTGATAATGTTTTCCTCAGTGGCTTAAAAAGTCAATAATTTTATCATGTGTCATTAATAAGAAAACAAACCTCAATGATTTCAAGCTTTCGGCAAGGATCAATCCCATGCTTTCAACGAGTGCTTCGCTAGCGTATATATATATATAGAAAATGATAAAAAAATATTAACCTATATATTTCGGGAATCTGGGGGCACGGTAGTGCCCCCGCCAAGTCAAGTAAAAAGAGCGGCACGGCCGTACCACCCTTTTCTCGAAACAGTTCAGGCCATTTTCAACTCCCTATAACTTCGTTGGCGATAAAAGTAGAAGCCTGTGTTCAGTAACCAAATAGGCATTGTATAAACTCGATATATCCCAAATTTTATTGAATTTGAGCCAGTAGTTTAAGAATTATAACTAGTGAAAGTTTCTTAATTTTGTCACTTACTGACCGACCGATCATCAAAACTCTAAGGCACTTCTAGCAGACATAGAAGCTTTAAATTTAGAATACAGTATGTTAAAGTATAAATTAAGGAAAAAAAAATAATTAATATATTTTGCAATTTCGGCCCAGTTTTCTAGATATACTAACTGCATAAATAACTTTGTAATCTCATATAAATATATAGGATTACAAAGTAACAATAGTGTATGTGTTATATAAATGTTGTACTCTATTATAATAGAGGGCGTAGATAAGTATCTAGGTATAATAATGGAAAATTGGAATCCCATAATTATATGATTTATATTTTAGAATAGAACGCGAATCGAATGGATTTAGAGTTCGAATCAATTTGAATATGTTTTATTTACTTTTACTTTTTACCGTAAGACGGAGCTGTATGTAGTTAATTCACGAAATGACAGTTGCTTTTGCATTTATATAGATGTTGAACGTTGATTGGATAATTCTTAGGTATTACATTGTAATCGAACCAAAAGTGAGAGTCTGACACCCATATTCTTAATCGCGTCCTCAAACGTTCCTCGACTCAAACTCATTCGAGGGCTCCTTAAGGAGTTCCTCCAAATAACCTCGAAAATGGTATTCTAGTTGGTATCTTGAACAAACTTGAGAATTCCTCCACTGAGAATTCCTCAACATTGTGACGTCATCATTTGGAGGATTTTATTTCTATAATGGTTAACACAGGAAATATTACTTGTATGACTGTATCTTTTCTAAACCGAAATCTTCTTTGAAACGAATCATTGTCGTAAACCTTAAAAGGATTTGCGGCATCACGTAAATACCGTCGCGCCGGAAAATTATATGGTTAATCATCGTGTATGTGTTACTGAATAAATAAATAAATAAATCGTATACGTAATCCATAAAATCCACAAATTCGTCAATAATCTCAAAATCAGACATAAAACTTGAAAACACCTTAAACACCACTCGAGGAAGCCTTAAGGTACGTTGAGAGCTACCTTGAGTTTGACAGTTTATTCCTCGACTCGACCTCCACTCGAGTGAGGAATATCTCAAGTGAAGGATATTTTTGCTGTCTAAGCATACGAATTTCCTCCAATGAGGTTGAGTCGAGTGGAAAAAATCTCGAGGAAACGACTAAGAATATGGGTGTAAGTCTAAATAATGCGTTGATTGATATCGGTTCTGCAGTATTCATATCTGGTCAAGCTTACGTAGCACTTTCGAGAGTTACAAATCTTGGCGGCTTACATTTAATTAATCTCGACCTCAATTTGTGAATATAAATAGACTTAGAAGCAATTATCGTTCGGACTTGACAAAGCTTTTAACATCAGAGCCTCCGAGAAAAACCCATACATACAGGGAGTGGGCTTTGAGAAAAGCTGTAGCTGAAGCTCAGGAAGTAGTACCGGAAAAGTAAAAGAGGAACCTACAAAAATAAAAAAGGTCACAAGACAGCTCATCAGAAGACTTGTTGGTATTCAAGAAGTAAAAGGTACCTGAAAGAAATAAGTAAGGCTATCTACAAAAAGAAATGAGATGTCATCAAAAACATAACTTGTAAAAAACCAAGTGTCGCAACTCAGTTCTACTTTTACTACCGTCAAAAGTTGTGAGATCCATGTTATGCCAAGTCGGTTGCCAGTAATTTATTCAGTCCCTACTTAAGGAACCTTTTGTCTTTAGTTATTACGAAATTAGCTCACCTAACAACATCTTATACTGACCATATCAATATTGAAAATATTGTATGTTTTAAATAAATAAATTTACTTGGCAATCGCACTCAACAATCTAATTTAATATAATATGGGAGATACATTGTGTTTTCATGCGATTGACTTGGTTTTTTACAAGTTATGATTTTGATGGCATACGCATTTAGTACATACGTACTGAGCTCAATAGCCCAGGTGGTTAGCGCGTTCGGCTTGCGATCGTGGAAGTTAAGCAACTTTGGCAATAGTCGGTAATTTGATGGGTGACAAAAAACTTATTATCTCGAGCTCCTGTCGAAGCCTGTGCTCTGCCCCTTCAGTGGGGATATTAATAGGCTAATACTGATAATGTATTGAATATATTATTTGGAAAAGAAATCAAGAATGATCTCCTCTGCCCCACAATATAAGTTAAATATATAGCATTTCAGACCATTTCAAGGAATTTAACGTTATGTGTTTGTTCCAAAGCTTGACAAATTTTTCTTTTTTTTTAAATATGAAGAAATATTTTATCCAAAACCGTTACTATTTCAAAAAATCAACCTCGTGCATATACGTACTACAATAATATAGTCTATTGAAATAAGAAAAGAGATGTTTTGATATCGGGATCGCCTATATAGGATTTCGTATCTCAAAAGGAAAAAACGAACCCTTATAGGATCACTTTGATGTCCGTCCGTACGTCCGTTCGTCTGTCAAGACCATTTTCGCAGTATCAAACTGAAATTCAAATCTAATACTCAGGTCTATATTAAAACATTTTGCCCTAAAATGTCGAAAATAAAATAGTAAATTTTAATAAGTCAGGAAGCTTATCTGCCAAAAATATAATACTACTAATATAAACTACTACTAACCTACACAAAATCAAATCCAGTAGAATAGAATTCTGTTTAGTTAGATCAAGGCTATTTCAACAGTCAATATACATTAGATATTCTAAAATAAATCAAATGGTCCCAATAATAACTTTTTGATCAGACGGAGTTTTTTTTCACATAAGTTTAATATGAGTATTTATCGAATTTATAGTTTTAAATGGAGCTGATTACGAAAACAACATTTTTCCCGAGATCCAAGAATATTATTAATGTTTCAGATTTTGCGACTATGCAGTCCTAATGGCACTGTAGGTACGGAAACTTAAAAGATAGATTTTGTGACTCGCCGACACCTTAAAGTACTTATCTGTATTAACCAGACAGCTTCCATAGAGCTCCAAGTTTCTGGAAATTGAATGTCCTTAAGTTGTAATATATGTCGGCCCAGATGAATAGTAATAGGGTACCACTTTTGTGGATTACAATAAAATACGCTACTACATATAAAAGAAACTGTGTTTTAAAAACTCTAGTAAAAAAATAAATTAATATAAGTTATGGCGAAAACATTATTTGATTTGTCTAAAAAACCTAAAATTCTCTTTATTACAGAACCTTAACAATGGTGTCAATTCTGACACGATTCTCTAAACCTAAACTTAAATTTGACAACAGTGTATCCTTGTCATTCTCTATACGGAATGAAAAGGAGAGATTGATGTTAAATTTAGTTTTAAGTTTAGAGAATCACGCCAGAATTGACACCAGTATAAGTTTTTATCTCCTGGACTATAGAGAAATACAAATTGCAAAATCCATAAACAAACGTTCGTGTGTATATCGTAAACGTTGTTTTTTTTTCACGACACGATAATAA